TTTGTACTCATCATTAGCGATATGTCATCAAAGAAAAATTCAATTCAAAATCAGTTTATTGATTTGATCAGTGATATTGGTGCAAAGATGTTTTCGTGAAATTTGTTTTAGCGATTTTTTTTTAATTGAAATGGCGCATTCCTATCCCGATGTTGCAAAGATGGCTCTAAGATTGCTGATTCAATTTGCAATCACCTGTGAGTCTGAGACGCCTTGTCATCCTGACTGCCGCACCCCTGTCGTCACCCGTATTGACATGACCTCTTCCCACCCCTGTCGTCACCCGTATTGACATGGCCTCTTATGACCCCTGTGGCCAATGTAATTTTGACGCCCTCGTTCTCGGCATATATAAAGCAATTTGCAAAACTAGTCTTCATACGAGTTTCGCCATTTTCGTCCACGAGCAAACACGTTTTGACAATGAACCCACATAATGGTGTTACCAAGATATCTCTGTGTTCAGTCTTTTGTATCCTAAATACAATGCCCGTATTGTTGTAGTACTTTCTCCGAGACAATACTCTTCGCATCTCACATTTCGGTCAGATATAATTAAAACCGAATTAAAAATCTTTATACAGTGCATCCTTCATTGTTCCCCGTACGTGACTAAATAAAAATACAAACAACTATCTATATTGTAATGTTTGTGATTGAATCTAATTGTAGAACATGTTTTTGTGTGTGTGTGTGAGTGTGTGTGTGTGTGTGTGTGTTAGATCTGCTTACCAGTACGAATTGTTCGTGTGTGCATGTACAGGTAATAAACAAAATCATGTTTTCAACACACACAAAAATGCACCGTAAAAAGTGTCTAATCCTTATCTGGAAAATGTTCAGTCAAGGCTTGAGTCAGGTTAAGACAGTACGAGACAAGAACCGTATGTAGACTAAGACAGTCTAGTTGATCAGAAGACAGTACTAGACAAGAACTGTATGTAGACTAAGACAGTCTTGGGTTGAACAAGTTAAGACACTAAGAGACAGCAATGATCCGATTATGACAGTTCGTGACAACAAGGATCAGGTTAAGACAGGACGCGACACCAATGATCAGGTTAAGACAGGGCGCGACACCAATGCTCAGGTTCAGACAGGACGCGACACCCATGATCAGGTTAAGACAGGACGCGACACCCATGATCAGGTTAAGACAGGACGCGACAAGAACCGGATGCAGACTAAGACGCTAAAGTCAAAAGGCATAGACTCAAGAGATTTATTACATGACTGAGTATCCCATTGAAAACAGCCCTATGAGTAACAGTAGTGTTTCTCAATACATGAGACCAATTTATATTTACTTTAGAAATTTATGTTGGGCTTATTTTCAGGGTTTCTTTTTTTTCATGTACAATAAATGTTTTGTGTGTGCGAAAACCCCTACATTTATTCATCTACTGACACAATCAAAGCTCTTCTTGTCGAGGTATCCGGCTCCTAGAGCACTGACAACGCAACTGTCAGTGATATCATTTGGCAGTGAGTCTAGAGTTCTGTTTATATACCAATTGGTCTTAGGCTCATTTTCTGGAAAGGTCTTATTATCTGGATAGGTCTTATGGTCAGTAAAAGTTGTTATTTTCTGGAAAGATCTTATTTTCTGGAGAGATCTTTTCTCAGGAACAAAATCCACGGTAGTTCAAAATCTTCTATTTAAAGCTCAGTGTGACTATGCAAGAATGTGTGTATATTGTGTATGTTAATCAGCTACCCTATAACAAAGTGGTTCTCCAATTAGACGGTACCGATAGCAGGGGACGATGGAAACTCCTAGGACGGGGTGGTAGAAGGCTCGGTAGATTTAGGGGCCGGTTTTGAACTATATCAGAAAAAAAAATGTTACATTAAAAAATATATAAAAGTTGAGGCCCAAACTGATTTAAAACTATCGGATCAAAGTCGACTTTGAGTGATGAATAGACATGAGTCGAGCAGTGCAAGGGGTTATAAACAAATAAGAAATATTTACAAAAGAAGGCGACATTAATATATTGTGCAAAAGTGGTGAATACAATTCAAAGAGGATCTGCCGACATATTCATATAAAGTGGAACCTCTCATAACGAACACCTCTCATAACGAGTAATTCGCATAACGAGTAATTCGCATAACGAGCAAAAAAAATGTGAAGAAGTTGCTCCCCTAACGAGCGAAATTTCTCATAACTATTAAGTTACGCAGAAAGGGGAAGTCCCTTTTTCCCTCACTTCTGCTTTGAAAAAACTTTGGCCAGAGGGTGTTGTTGAATGTGATTTTGAAACAGTACCTGTGGAGTCTACACTTAACGAGATTGTGTCATTGGCCAATCTCATGGGACTCGAGTTGGACAACAACGATATTGAAGAGCTTGTCAAAGAGCACAGTCATGAGCTGACTACCGAAGAGCTTGTGGAATTGCATCGTGTTTCACAGCAAGAAATTATGGAGGATAGCTCATTAATGGAGGGGGAGCATCACCCTCATAAGGAGGTGGCTATTCGTGCTACAAATTTATTCAATGATAATGCTGTGACACATTTTCGTCAAATTTTGAAGCGTCGGCAAAAACAAATGTCTTTAGACAGTTTTCTAGTTAAAAAGGATTAATTATTTGTCATAAATTCATATTTTTATTTATTTTTTTTGTTTTCAAATCTTTATTGTATTCCAAGTTGTTACACTCCTTAACAATTCATAAGTAATTTTATTTGAATAAATGTTAATAAAATTTGTTGAAAAATTAGTATTTTTTCAGCATGGAGCGCGTTATCGTATTTTACACTGATTTGTGTGGGAAAAATTGTTTCGTTTAACGTGTGTTTCGTTTAACAAGTAAGAGTCTGGCACGAATTATGCTCGTTATGAGAGGTTATGTATTGATATATGTATATGTATTTATATATTTTTTGCACATTCACTGGGTGCAGAAATTTGGCTTTGCGGCTTTTTAGCGACCTAAGTGTGGCTCGTCAAGTTGGCAACAAATCGGTTTTGACTCCGAAAAAAGTTGGTTCTTGACATGTTGTTAAAAAGAAGTTGTCCTGCTGCTGATTTTTTGGCTCTTTTAACTAATGAGTTTGCCGACCACTTGTTTAAAGCAACTAAACCATCAAGATACACTTACTGCTCATCGTCGTCCTTTTTAGTTGAACAGAGTCACCTCGGGATCGCACTGCAGTCTTGTTACTATTCATTATATCTTTTCATTTTTCCGGTTGTTTCAACGATTAAAAGGAGGAAATCATACATTGTATCCCGTGAAAACTGATTTTTTTTTTTTTTTTTGTGCATTGGTATTTTTTCTTGGTTGGGCCCGGAATCTACTCGGGCATCAACTCGGGCATCATTTCGGGCTCCAATCGGGCTTCAACTTGCTGTTTTGTTACTATTCATTATATTTTTTCTTTTTTCTGGTTGTTTCAACGATTAAAAGGAGGAAATCATACATTGTATCCCGTGAAAACTGATTTTTTTTTTTTTTTTGTGCATTGGTATTTTTTCTTGGTTGGGCCCGGAATCTACTCGGGCATCAACTCGGGCATCATTTCGGGCTCCAATCGGGCTTCAACTTGAGCATCTACTCGGGCATCAACTTGGACATCGTCTCGGGCATCATCTTGGTTATCAACTCGGGCATCATCTTGGGCATCTACTCGGCCATCTACTCAGTCATCTACTCGGGCATCATTCGTGGCCAGTAGGCCGTTGTTACGAGGCTATCGAGGTTTATCTGGCTCAGTTTTCTTTTTTTTTTTAAAGCAGTAAATAGAAAACTGTTCAAACCCGACTGAGCACTGCTTATTTATTTCCGTTTGTTTGAACACCACAGGAAAAAAAAATAATCTGCCCAATTCTTATCTTCCGAATACACCAACGCTGGCCTGGTTGTACGGGGATTATATTAATAATAATCCAATTCAGGGGGAGTGCAAGATGCTACACACACACGTATATTAAGGCTTAAGTATATGAAAAATGTGTTTATTTAGTTTATGTTTTCCAAAAAAACATGTTTATACTCTTAAGGTTTTACTACATAGGCGTCAGAATCAAAGCGTCATATCGTCACAGTCAAATATTTGTCAAGGATTCACAACGCCACAGTCAAAAATTCATAAAGTCACTGCAATAAGATCATAGTAGCGGAGTCAAACCACTATTTCTCGGCGTCCATGAATGACAGAGTCAGCGTCAAAGAGTGACGGAGTCAAATCTTTCAGGGTCGGTATCAAAAGTCTGGCGGAGTAAAACCTTTATGGGTCAGTGTCAAAGTCTGGAAGAGTCAAATCTTTATTAGACGGTGTCAAAGAATGACAGAGTCAAATCTTTACTGGTCGGTGTGGAAGTCTGACGAAGTCAAATCTTAATTATAATATAAAAATGGTAACACATTTATAGGCCAAAAATAGTTCACAGCGTTTGTAGCTGTTTTTCAGGGCTGTAAAACATGACAGAATTTATTATTGATACGCCAATCATTAGGGTGCTGAATGGCTGAAGTATAAACAATTCACACGTGACTTTCTAGCCAAAATGATTAGAAAGTACATTGCTTCACAGTGGCTACAGCTGAATCATTTAATAAAAAAATAGAGGAAATTGGGTTTATAAAAAAACTATGTTCTCAGTTGGATTGAAAGTGAAAAAAAAATTAAGATTATATGATACCTGACTAAAGTAACACACACACACACACAACACACACACACACACACACACAAATTATGATAAACTTTATGAAATCCTCTTTTCCATGTCTTTGGTAAACGTTACATTAACACACGTCTAGTCCTGTGGTCGGCAAACTCATGAATCAAAAGAGCAAAAAATCAGCAGCGCGACCATAAAAAAAAATTTGAGAGCCAAATTTCTTTTCAAGAACCTGTCAAGATCCATGTTTTTTTTTTGTTTTTTTTTTTGGACTCAAACCCGATTTTTGGTCGACTGGCCGAGCCACACTCAGGTCGCTAGGAAGCCGCATAAGGCTCGCGAGCCCAAATTTGCCGATCACTGGGCTAAGCTCGCCAAGAGCTGGCCTGCGTGTATATCCCTTTGATTAGGTCCCAGTAACCCCAAAACAACTTGTCACTGACGAGGGACGCGAAGATCGGACACCTCGGTCCTTGAGTTCTGGTGCAGTTGAGCGCGTCCTGTTGCTTGAGCGTCATGTTCCGGTCCAGCGCGTAGTTGTAGTACGTGACACTGCCCACTACGCTGGGCAGCATCCCGAAGAGATACACGTCGTCTATCCAGAAAAACGGGGTGGTCATCGCGGCCTCAAACATCGGGCCCATGAGGTCGGTCGTCATGATGACCACGAAGCCGCTGCAGTAGTCGTATGGGAACGTGCTCCGTTTGGAGAAGACGTGCGGCTCGACCTTCCACTTGCCCTGCCGCAAGATGGGCATCGTGTTCTTGTGCCACAAGTTGCAAAAGATGGACTTCGGCTTGCCACTCATGTGGTTCAGGAAAGAGTACAGCAGTTTGTACATGTTGATCATGACGTCATCGTCGATCTTGAGCACGAACCTCGAGTTGGTGCAATACTCGCTCACCCAGCGGTATCCCATGACACCTTTGAGCGACAGGTTGTGGTAGTCGTCGATGAAATCCCCCATGACGGTGTCGTTGTAGGTCGCGTGCTCGAGCCACAGCATGCGCTCCAGGGTTCGGTTGACGGTCTTCCCCAACAAGAAAGCCGTCCGGACTCGGAAAGGGACGAAGAGGTCCTCGTTGCCGAAGGTGTCCCGAATCCGTTGACGTCTCTCCATGTTAGCCGGGGCCGTGTGAACGATGATGATGATGTCCAGTTCTTTCACCCCGCGGCATCGGTCGGCGTCCGCCATGATGTAGCGCCCGATCCTCTTGGCGGGGAACATGGCGTCGTTGGTGAATCTGCTGTCGTTGAGCTCCAGTTTCATGGTGTCCAGCTTCAGCTTGACCACCGGGTTGACGGTCGTGTTCGGCCCGACGCCGCCCGGGCGCGTTGAATAGAAGTAAGGGTGATCGTCTTCACTGAAGTACCGTTGTGGCGTCCTCCAGGTCAGCACGTTCTGGAGCGAGATGGACAACAGGCAGAGCAGGTTGATGATGATGACGACGCCGATGAGGACGCCGATTTTAAGTTTTCTCAAAGCTCGCACGCTAACCATTTTCTGTGGAGTAAAAAAGATTTGCAGATTTAATTTGATTTCGTTTCAATATTTAAAAAAACAAAAAAAAAGAACAGGTTTTGAAACTACCGGCTCGTCAGCTCAACAAGTTAACTTTTTGCCTTCTGTTCATAATGCATATGTCGCTATGGAATTAAGCCCCAGTCCAGGGTAAAAAAAAATTGTTGGACACGTGATGAGGTTTTTTTTTTGTGGGAAGGGCGGCGTAAATATTTGCCTTGATCTGGAGGCAAATACACTTGCTACGCCACGATATGTATCCCCTAACACTATATAATGTTTCTCAAAATAATTAAACTATTTGTTTCGGTTTTAAATATACAATCGTTTGCATTTTATTACTTTTGCTCAGTTACACTCGAGATGTGAACATTGAAATAGGAAGGGAGGGCAGAGCAACTGATTTATAAACATGTTTCCGTGAAGAGCCTGCGGTCTTCATTACAGTACTTGATGAGTGTTCCTAGTGTGGATAAACACAGAAAAAAGTCGTACGGAGTGCGCTCTTTTGAAGCGATAGCGCCTAAATTATGGAGCAGTTTGCCTCAATCTTTGATGGGAATTGTAAATGATAAAAAATCATTTAAGAAATAATGAAAAACTTTTTTGTTTAAATAGATTTCGGAGGACCAGAGCGCACTGAGCATGTTACAGTGGCGTGGATACAGGCGCGATATAAATATCAAATCAAATGAATCAGTGGGGGCGGGGGGGGGGGATTTTGACATCGGCGCCACTTTTTTTTTCTTTACATGAAAGTTCGAGATTTTTGTTAGGCCAACTGCAGAGTTTTTTTGTGTTTTATTCGTGAGCGAAGCGGCTAAAATCTTAACCAGCCCTACCACTAACTCTAGCAACATGGCTGGGTGTCAGGTACGACTTCATTATACATTTTAATAATGAAATGCCAACAAAATATTAGTTTTTTTTTGTTTTGTTTTTTTAAAGTGAACAGAGATTTCTTTTTTTTTTTTTGTTGCCGATCTCAAACGCAGAGCTGATTGAATTTGATCAGATATTTAAAGAACATTAAGTAAGAAACCACTGCAAAGGGAAACCACTGTTAAATTTGGAATTATTTCCCTTTTTTTTTTTTTTTTTTTTTTTTTTTTTTTTTTTTTTTTGAGATTTTTTTTTTTTTTTTTTTTTTGTTGCCGATCTCAAACGCAGAGCTGATTGAATTTGATCAGATATTTAAAGAACATTAAGTAAGAAACCACTGCAAAGGGAAACCACTGTTAAATTTGGAATTATTTCCCTTTGCATATAATATAATGACGTTCTGTTAGCGTCTTCACTAAACCTATCAGCTTATGTGGTCAGTACATTCACCGTGACAATTCATTCATTCACCGCAACAGACGACGGAGGGAGGGAGGGGGGGGGGTAGTTGTCGCTGGTTGCTTGCGGAATGTTAAGTTCTTGCCATGGAGTCATCTCTTCACACGGCCAACATAACTAAAGATGATCCAAGTCTGTTTTCTCTGACCAACAGAGTCAATTATTCTTACGACATACTCACCATGGACACAGACCAACGAAAACTTCTATGCACCGTCGTTCACCTACACAAATAAGAATTAATTTTTTTAGACAAACGTGTGTATGTTCACATGATGACATTATGCCCACGTCAGACAGTTGTTATCATTAAATCTCTATGAAAAAAAAAACTTGCAAAGAAAACAGTGAACAAATAAAATGTCTGTACGTTTTATATACTTAGTTATCATCTCACTAAACAATGGTAACAACAACAGCTCATCCCTCACAATAGACGAGTCTCCCCTACACTCAGAATAGACCAGTCACCCCTACACTCAGAATAGACCAGGCACCCCTACACTCCCAATAGACCAGTCACCCCTACACTCCCAATAGACCATGCACCCGTACACTCCCAATAGACCATGCACCCTTCGCTCCCATTAGACCATGCACCCTTACACTCCCAATAGACAATGCACCCCTACACTCCCAATAGGCCATGCACCCCTACACTCCCAATAGGCCATGCACCCCTACACTCCCAATAGGCCATGCACCCCTACACTCCCAATAGGCCATGCACCCCTACACTCCCAATAGGCCATGCACCCCTACCCTCCCAATAGGCCATGCACCCCTACACTCCCAATAGGCCATGCACCCCTACACGCCCAATAGATGAGGCACCCCTACACGCCCAATAGATGAGGCACCCCTACACTCCCAATAGACCATGCACCCCTACATTCCCAATAGGCCATGCAACCCTACACTCCCAATAGGCCATGCACCCCTACACTCCAAATAGACCATGCACCCTTACACTCCCAATAGACCATACACCCCTACACTCCCAATAGACCTTGCACCCCTACAATCACACCAATGTCTAAATATCAGTGTTGTTATGTAACCGCCATTGATCGGGAGTCGAACCGGTCTTAAACAAGAGGCAGTGTCGTATCTACCTTTAAATGGTCCATTCCGAAAATCTGGGATGTAAGATGAGCAGCGTGCAGAAGGGGGAAACGAAGGAGGGATGCGACATCCCCAGGCATCTCTAGTAGAGGGCAATGAGTGAGTTAACATGGTTCATGTGTGAAATGTTGAGCGCTCTCACATGGCATCTCCTTGTGAAAAAGGGTCTTGTAAGGGTGGATCACATTGCGCATGATGACCCCCGGCACAACCCAGACTTGAATTTTGGGGGACATGAAATCTAAGTGTTGGCGCACATTTCTCGGTGCAAGGGCCGACACTTGAGCGTCAATGACGTCTGATAAAGGAGTGGGATCTGTTCTCAGAAGAACGCACACTATTTAAGTCGTACGTCTTTCAGATACACGTATCAATGGTACTATGGGGGGGAGAGACTGCAATCAGGTTAGGTCAAAGGAAATGAGTGGCACTATGGGAAGTCCTCATTAAAAGGACCCAAAAAACCACACACACACACACACACACAAACAACAAAACGGACATTTCGGCGAGAAGCCTTCTTCAGGGAACTAACTGTAAAAAAAATATATAAAAAATATAAAATAAAATTATATCCGAGAGGACAGCAAGAGGAAAAGAGTTACAAGGAGTTAAAAAGGGGTTACAATGTGTTAAAAAGAGTTACAAGGTGTTAAAAGGGGTTACAAGGTGTTAAAAGGAGTTACAAGGTGTTAAAAGGAGTTACAAGGTGTTAAAAGGGGTTACAAGGTGTTAAAAGGGGTTACAAGGTGTTAAAAGGGGTTACAAGGTGTTAAAAGGGGTCACAAGGTGTTAAAAGGAGTTACAAGGTGTTAAAAGGAGTTACAAGGTGTTAAAAGGGGTTACAAGGTGTTAAAAGGGGTTACAGGGTGTTAAAAGGAAGGGGTTATAAGGTGTTAAAAGGGGTTACAAGGTGTTAAAAGAGGTTACAAGGTGTTAAAAGGGGTTACAAGGTGTTAAAAGGAGTTACAAGGTGTTAAAAGGAGTTACAATGTGTTAAAAGGGGTTACAAGGTGTTAAAAGGAGTTACAAGGTGTTAAAAGGAGTTACAAGGTGTTAAAAGGAGTTACACTCATCAAGGAGTTAGTTAACCGCGGGCAGGACCATGAAATATTTTTTTTTAACTGTGGCGATTATGTATTTTTTCTTAAGTTTTAATTATAGATAAACCATTCCTCTGCATTCATTAGTTACAGTACGGACGTTCACGCAGACATTGAGTTGTTCACGCAGACATTCAGTTTTTCACGCAGACATTCAGTTGTTCAAAGAGACATTCAGTTGTCCACGCAGAAATTACGTTGTTCACACGTCCAGACCAGAGGATACCTTCGCATTGCTTCGCATTTACGGTTGCACCTTTTGTAAGCTTCTCCGCTCTAAGCTACGTTCCTGAACCTCGGGTGTTCAAAGTCCCATTTGGGAGAAGGGGGCGGGGTGCGAATTTTAATTTCAAAGGGAGCGAGAAAAACCTCTTAAAGAACTTTAAGTAATGAGTCATATTCTTTTCTGAGTTCTCTTTGACTTTAAAAAAAAAAAAAAAAAGAAATTAAAATTTAAAACAAAAAAAAAAAAAAAAATAGTTAAAAAAAAAAAAAAAAAAGGAATAAGAATTTGAAACCAAAAAAAAAAAAAATACTGTTTAATAAAAAAAAAATCATTTCACTTTATGTAAGGTATGCGAGACTTAATCGTTTCTTTAGAGGTTCGAGGCTAATTCAATCAATTTTGGGGGGTTGCGAATTCTTAGGGGTCATATCATATAGAAAAAGTTTGAAAACCAGTAGCTTACAGAGATGGATTTTAGGTTTAAATTAAGAGACTGGGGTCGAAGTGGAATCCGCCCCCGTGCTTCATTTGAGGTCCATCAGAAAAAAAGAAAAAAAAACAGTGTATGTTCGCAACGGTATAAGTCATCATTGGTGGGCTAGGTATTTAACCAATGACAAGCTCATCTCAAAAATCCACGACACGACAAAACGTCTGATGTTGTGGATGTAAGGTGAACACACAACTAAACGCTTGTGTCTAATCATTGTAGTAGTGTATTCCTTAAAATAGATCACCGTTCCTCTCTACGCGCGTCTCTGTACCCGCCCATACATTTCCTGGTCACAATTAGCCGGAGACTTGAAGCTTATGCAGTAAAATACTGGTGGGGACACTATGCTTCTTATTTTACAGCCTTTTATTAGTATTGTACCCTATAAAAAAAGGCAATGTCTTCAACAACAAAAAATGCCACAAGTGGCAGTGGAATCCACTCCCCACCTCCACGATCCCATTTAGGGCTGTATATTTTGTGTAATCTTTTCTATTCAGTTCCTAAGTCATAATCGTTTATTGCAGTAGTTCCCAGCGTGTGCTCTGACGGTGCCCAAGGACTCAACGTGCGCCGTTTAAGGGTTCCGCGACCACCCCAGGAAACAAAACAAATAAAACTTAGTTTCAACGTGTTAGACAAATGGTGGGCCTAAGGGATTCCTTAATAGAAATTAATTCTAAAGATGGCTCTGC